TTATAATTAGGACTATTAGTTCAAAGTTGTCCGACGGATTCAGACTGTACCGCATGTCGCAAAAACTATGATTGTACGTGGAGGGTTAATATGAGGGTGGATGAATCACAGATCAAAGAAGTGATTGACCTGGTCAGGATCACGGGATAAATTTGTAGTCGTGACGTAACGTTACGTCGGCATCGTTCGCCATCGGCGTTCGCGGCTCGTCCTCTCTCACTGTCTTCGAATTACATCGGCCAGATAATTCCCTTCCGAGTAGCGATGATCCCGGCGGCGAGACGGTTTCGTGGCTCGCTCCCACGCGCAGGTGTTCGCCTGTCCTGTCGTCGCGCTCGTCCCGGAACTTTCGACCGGAACTCCCGGGTCCGTGGGTCTCGGCTCGGCCGCGAGAGGATCTCAGAGGCGGCAGATTCATTAATTGACTCCCGCGGCCGAGAGAGTGCCGCGACTTCGCGCTCGCGAACGCTCGGCCACTGATCCAGAAAGCAATCCCGGGAATTCGTTACGGAACTCGAAGGCGAGCTACTTTCCGTTCTCAGGGAGGCTGCCGGGTTATTTATAGCGTCATACCCGCCGCCGCCGCGTAGCCTGCAAAAGGAAATTCTATCTCCCTCTCTCTCCTCTCCTCCTTATCTTCTTCTTCTTCTTCTTCTTCTCCTTCTTCTTCTCCTTCGCCTTCTCCGCCGCCACCTTCGGCATCTCTGCCCTCGTACGTATGTACGTGTCCACTCCGCCTCTCCCTCGGCTCGGCAAAAGCGTAGCCTGGAGGAAGAGACCGCCGTCGCCGTCGACGACGGTGGCCGCGGACGGCGCGGAAAGTATTCTCATCGGCCAGTTTCGAGACGCTTCGACGAAGAGGTATATCGACGAGATCGCTCCGCGAGGCAGGAACCTTCTCTCTCTCTCTTTCTCCCTCGATTCCTCTCGGTTCCTACTCTTCTCCAGCCATCTGAAGAGATCGTGCTTTCTACCGGCGCGGCCTTCTCTCATGGTATTCGTTTCACCGTCGCTTTTGTGAGATGCGACATGTACGAGACGAAATTTGTCTCTCATCCCCCACTTGTGTGTGTGTGTGTGTGTGTGTGTGTACCCTCGTTGCAGTAGTTGATACAAATTTCGCTTGAACGTGCGTCCCGAAATCGAGCTGCTCGTCAACACGACGCGGAGACTCTCGCGTTCCTACGCGTCGTAGAATACGTCCTCTCGGCGAGAGACACGACGACGGAGCGCGAGAAATCGCGATAATTGCGGCAGACCTCCTCGCGGGCCGCTCTCCTCGCAGAAACGCTTAACCCAGAAGAGTTCAGCGGAGAGGCATCTGGCTGATGTATCTTCCTGTTTCCTAGAAGCTCGCTTAATCGAGCGCGCAAATATTCCCTTTGGGATAAACCATTGATGAATGAATTGCTTGTATCCCGTGCTTGATTCGCCATCGCCGTCGCCTCTGTCCGTCCCTTTCTCGCGCGCGTAAGTCTTCCGAGTTGCCGAGATCATCGTCTGTAATACACATGAGTCACTCCCATATGATAGTTTCCTGCCGATGTTGTTCGGTGGCCGGCTGCTCCGCCGCGATGTACACTAGACGAACATCCGCTCCCGCGAGTTACAAGGTTGGGCCGCTTTGATCCAGATCCCCTGACCGCGAACGCACACGTCGACGTCTTTGATGAGGAGGAAAAAAGGGATAGAAAAAAGTCGCGGAATCGAGCGACGAGGTTGAATTTCTTACGAAGATGTGTGCCGCTGATTTCCCCCGTTTCTCCCTCCGCCGTCGAGAACGTTGGTCGTTAATGGAAATCATTGACGTCGACATCATGACGCGCGATGTGAGGTTCCACAACTTCGCGCAATTTTTTTTCCCCGATCTAGTTTATATTACGTCGCGTTTCTTCGTCGCGCATATTTTCATGTGGAGCGTGAAAATTGGACGAAAGTCTACGAGAGGTAACTCGTTGCAGCTTCGATTCACTTCAGTTTTGCTTCCGAATCGTCCTGCAGATTCGTATGTCAAACAATTATTCTAGATTTTAGCGCTATACGGAAAGAACTTTGTAGCAAAAATTAGTGAGAATTTTGCAATTGAGAAATAGATGGACATTCTGTAGTAATTTATTATCCTCTCGTATGTGCTACTTATATTACTTTTTTTTTTTGGATCGCGAAATAGATTATTAAAAGATTTGCTATGATTCTGACAAAATTTACTATGTAAGTCAGCAAGGTCCATCTTAGCAAGATGGACCTTGTTGACAGTTGTAGAGTCTATTCCTGCACTATTAGAAATACAATGAAAATGGCAAGAATTTAGAGGAGAAGAAAGAATTATAATATTCTCTTCATTTACATAACATTTTAACATATGTAAATGTGGAAACATCATTCATTCACTCTCCATTACGTTCCATCACACAGTGATAAAAAGTAGGGAGGGATAGTGAATATGGTCTTGGATACATATCTGACAATCGCAAAGAGAATCAGTGAGCTAACAAACTAAGGCTCTACATTAGTTGCAAATCGCAAGATTGCGAGAAAATTGACTAATCAATTTTTGTCTTCGATCACAAGGAAAACAATCAACTATGACTAGTTAATTTTCTTGCGACGTTACGATTTGCAGCTAATGTAGAACTGGCCTAAAATGACCTTTGTCACTTTGCAACCTCCTATTGTCGCTCCTCATGACTCTTTTTCGCGCTTATCGATTATAATTGTACACTGAGAGAAAAGACTGGTAACTATAACAAACTGCATTTAGTTACAGAAATTTATTGAATCCTTAGTAACTAATACTAAATATGATAATAATTACCAAATATTTAATAGATCGGGAGTATGACGTAATTGCATTCACAGTAATATCAATTAAATAATTTAGTAATAGTTACTTAATGTTAAATATTTAATATGAAATATATTACAGTTATGAACAGATAATTGTTATGAAATCGTTATATCCTATATAATAAAAAATTCAATAGGTACGAGTTCTATTTTGTTATCAGTGTAAGTATGTTTTGTTGCAGCACAACGAAAAATTCATTCATTTGCAGCTATTACATCGTTTCAATATCTATTATTACAGATAGCTGGTTGAACCTATCAAAAATTTTGTAACTGTTACAAAATCGCTTATTTTGCTCAACTATTCAATAAGTTTTATTTACCAAATATATTCTGGAAGCAAATAAATTTTACTTCTGTCAAATAAACAATTTATTTTACAGAACTAAATTAATTAATAAGTATTGCCATAGCTTTGGCCCGCTATATTTACGCTATATTTATCATTTAGTAATAGTAACCAAATTTTGATAATATTTACTAAATTCTTCTCTCAGTGTACGCGTCGTTTGATCGCAGGGATAGATTCAGCAGTCGCTCGCGTGGATAACCGTTCATCGGTGTACACTAGAATTCATTAATGCCTTTACACTTCCGGTATTTGGAGAATTGGTTTTTTTTTATCTGACGCATTCTTTCTCAGTAAGTGTGAATCGTGACTGTTAGTTACTGAAAGGACCGGCTAATTACTAACAGTCACGATTCACGCTTACTGAGAAACGAGATGCGCCAGATCGAAAAAGTCCAATTCTCTAGATACCGGAAGTACAGAGGCATTTATGAATCCTAGTGTACATGCAAGACACACTCCTCTCACGTACGCAACGTCGCACGTTCAACTCTCACCGAAACTCTACCCGCGCGAGTTCGCTTTTTCTCTCCAGGGGGACTTACTCCAAACAAACAAACATCTCCCGGAAACTCCACGGTCATCGGCACAGCGCGCGCCTCTCCGATTTTCTGATCCCTCGATTTCGCATCGGCATTAAACGGGTCCGGCCGGCCGTCTGGCGCGCGAGAGCTACTCGCGGAAGCTGCGTGCTCGCGTGGAGAGCGGAGCACGTAACGTCGTCACGTCGCCTGGCACACACCAGCCGCGGCAGGAGGGTCCCGCTTAACTGTGTTAAGTGCCCTGTACCTACGGGGGCGCGTCATGCGAGAGGAGGAGAGTCCGCGACCTAAAGCCCGTCGGCTCTCCGACGGACCCTACGTGACGTAAAAGCCGTCAGTGCTCTCGTCGCGGTCGCCGAGTCTCTCCCGTTCGTGCAACCGCCCGCGACAACGTTCGTACTTTTGCGCGATCGCCGAAATCGTGCGTCCACAGCTACGAGAGCAAGCCACGTCTCTCACCGGAAACGCGGCCGCGCTGCTGCCCGGATTTCGGGATACTTGGTGCCTGCCGCGCCGGGGTGTTTCGTGTGATTCGTATTCCCGGAATTGCAATTACAAGTTACGTGTTCCGGTACTTTTCGTGACGCGTCACCGACTGGTGGGGGGCTCCTCGGGTCTCGCCCCGAGATGCCTTGGATCTTCTCTCGCGCGGGATCTCACGCCGATGATACATCGCGCGTTTCGGAGTAATCGAGTCGCGTTTAATTCTACTCTGACAGCGAGATTGCGTGCTGCAGAATTCGTGGGAGAGCCTGCTCGCGTGATTATTTCGCAATCGCGTGAAATTTCGAAGAGACGAGAGCTAGAGAGGAAGAGAGAGAGAGAGAGAGAGAGAGAGAGAGAGAGAGAGAGAGAGAGAGAGAGAGAGAGAGAGAGA